AGAGAACGTTAACCTTGCTCGACCCGACTTCTGGCGTGGAGGACAGGAAGGCGGGTGGGGAGGTGGTTATTGTTTGGAGGGAGAGTCCCCCTCCCTACAGGAAGCCACGAACACGTGTCACGGGAGGGAAAATGGCCGCGGATCCTGTTCGTCACCCAATCCAGCGTTCGCGAACGGAAGCAAAATTTTGCGAACGGAGCTGTTCGTGACCCGAATTGGTCGTGAACAGAAGCGTTCGTGACCTGAGGTACCACTGTATGCCCTTCAGCTCTTTAATTATATATTTAACCTTCTATGCAACTGATACAGACTATCTTAAAAGTGTAAAGAGGCTTTGCAGAGGCTTAATAAGAAGCTAGCATTATATGATAATAGTTTTTGCTGAAGCCAGCGAAATGTATATAGATGGTTTGGGATTATAGTATAGTGGTCTGATTCACACCAAGTCATATTAGATAGTCCTTGAGTTGACACATCTGCCTGAACAGCAGCCTTCCAGCATTTTCTCAATGCCCATTGAAAGCTGAATCCAGCACTTACAACTAGCTAAACAGATTGTTCACGGCTTCCAAAGAACTGCCATACCTTAGAATGCTGCACGAAGACTGAAGTTCAAAGCACAACGTAAATACTGAAGATGTTCACAGGTAGTAGAGAGTGGGGCAAATTTATCAATGATGGTTTAATACCAAGTCAAGATAAAGATAAACCTCCACATAAGAGTTTCACAATGGATTCATTTACACATATGGGGCTCAGGGGTGCATATCAGCCTGCACAATGAGTTTGTTTTGGCCATACCTGTTGGCCTTCATTACTGCCTTACTTGAAAAACACACCTTAGGAAACACTTCTCATTGTGGAACTTCCAAAAAATCTTCATATGAACACAGTTTGAAAATAATTATTTCCTAAAGCACAAGTACAGCATCTTTGGCCTCCCAACAACTGCTGGCACTTCCTCAAGAAATCCTACCTAATGGTTTGGGAAGACTATGATCAAAGTACAAGCAGAGTAGGCATTACCTGAAGGAAAGCAGGAGGACGATTCTGAGCTGCTGCACCATCGGTATCCAAAAACTTTACAATGCGAAGATATCCAGGATACGAGGGAGCGCTAACTTGTCCATCAGGGGTGACATAGAAAATCTGCACACCATGGGGAATGAGGATTAATTCATCAGCATCTACTCCAAAATTCTCAACTGGAGGTGGCTGAGTGCATTTTCTATAGTAATCTTCTCCAACAGATGAGAACTCCCCAGACTCTGTCCCATAGGACACAGTATAGTGCCCATCAGTGGCCTCTGGAGTATAAGCAGGAGGTGCTTCATTGGTCATTGAAGATGATGGACTCACTGCAGCCATTTGCCCTGGGCTTGTAGATCCAATATTTCCATCGCTTGCAAGTGGCTGAGGGGGTGATGTCAATGAGCTGGGCACAGGAGGCCTCTCAGTCTTTTCTTTGGATGGAATTGATGGGTATAACTTGGGCATCTCTATATTGGAACTAACTGCAGTGATATTTGCTTGGGAATTTTCATCTAGAAGTCTCAAACGAGCATTAACATTTTCTAAAGTTTCTTTCATCTTTTGCTGCATTTGCCTAACAGATACTGAATGGGTCTTGGTGCCTTTCAGACCTTCTGATGGAATGCTAACTCCTTTGAGTAAGTGAGTAAGCCCCTGCCTGTAATAATTCTTTGCTTCTTCTATTTGACCCAGTTCATCTGCATTCAAAGCTTTATTAACAAACACAAAAGCCTTCTTGTACTCATCTTCAATTGCTTTTGCATTTTCATTTTCTTGCATAGCTGAATCTTGTCCTTGATCCATTATTGCACACTGAAACACAGAATAAATTAACTGGAGACATTGAACAGAAGAGAATACATCAGCAGAAGGTTTCTAAATCCAAATGTTAAAGTGAAACCAGGTACACATATATATAAAGAACTATAATGTCAGATAAAACCTTAAATTAAAAGGATAGCAAATTATCTTTTTGTGAAATAGGCTTCCTTGTCTTCAAGGCTGGAGAATCTGCAATCTTCCAAATATTGCTCAAATTTAATAACCCAGCCATCATGATCAAAGGTGACAGATTTGGAAACAGTTACTCAGCAACATTTGGAAAGCTGTAAGTACTGTATTCCTGATCTACAGCATTATTTATTTAATCAATGTATAAGCTTCCTTAGTCTCAACAGCAACTCTAGGCAGCTTACAAAGCATAAATAATTAGGATTTAAACAACAACAAGGCAAGAGAAATGATGCAAGAGAAATCATGCACATAACAATGTTTGCTAAAATCTTATTGCTGGGGAAATAACAAAACTAGTTATGCACCATAAAATGTAGATCAACAAATGGGTTCACAAACTACACTGTCCCAGAGGCTGTTCTGAAAAACAGACCTTCAAGGCTTTCCAAAAATACCAGAGGTTCAGGGCCATACAGACTTTAGGGGGAAAGTTGTTCCAAAGGGCAGGAGCAACCCTAGACAAGGCACATCTCCAAGGTCCTTGAAAGATGACATCAATTTTACTGACAAAACCCAGAGCAGGCTTTACCACACTGATTTATTCCCAATGTTGCACATCTCTAATTCACCTTAAAAACTTAAAAAGTTTTTATGAGAGTTATGACCTGGTGCAAGAAATATAGAAGTGACAGCCTTCTCAAGTAAAGCCACCTCTTGAAACTATCCAGATGCATGACATGCTGTTTTCTTGGCAACAGTACAGAGGTAGATTACCGTTCACTTCTTCTGGGACTTTTAACTTACCTGTTTAGGCTACAACAGCCCTGGAATTCCCTGGTGGTCTCTCATCAAAATTACTATCTAGGCCCTGCTTAGCTTCTGGGCCCAGGCAAGGTTGAAAAATGGTCATATGCTAAGCTCTGATGCAAGAACAGACAGCTTTAAAAACTGTTTCTGTTCCATAAAAATTTATGGCAGAATGATTGCCTGAAAAATCCAAGTTCCTCAGCAAATTTAAAATAGTTGCCTTCTTAGCTCCTTGAAAAACAAATCTATAGCTAGACAAATGACATGTGCAGTATATATATTTATTGTACAAAAAAAGGAAAACAGCTGATTATCAATATATTTTATTCAAGTAGGAAGATATTACAAGTTATTAAAATTCAATTAGCAATAATTTAATTACAGGTAGTCCTCATTCAACAACCATTTGAAGTTATGACAGTGCTGAATGAGGGGACGTATGACCGTTCCTCATAGTTGCAGCCATCACAGCATCCCCAGTCATAACTGCAGTTCAGACACTTAGCAACTAGCTTGTAGTTACAACAGTTGCAAATGGCAATCACGTGACTGCGAGAAGCTGCAACCTTCACTGCCAGCTTCCAACAAGCAAAGTCAATGGGGAAGACGGCAGGAGGTTGCAAATGGTGATTACGTGACTGCAGGACACTGCAACAACATGGGACTCGCCTAACGACAGCAACTGAAACTGCTGCAACTGCTGTCGTAAGTCGGCACACTCACATGATGTCGTGCTTTACGACCACATTACTTAGCAACAGAGTTGCCAGTCCCAGTTACCATAGTTAAGCAAAGACTACCTGTATAGAATATATAGCAATAGCAAAGCTTTAGGAAATCAAAACTATATCTGATACAAAGATTAACTATACTAATTTATTCACATTACAGAAAGTAGTATTAACTTTTCTGCTGAGAAAAACTTAGACTACCTTTGTTTAGGCAGGAATAATGTTTATCACTGGAGCCACCAAAGGGAAAATCTCTAGCACTAACTTAAAAAGCTTCATATGAACTCATAATAGCAAGTTGTCTTTTTTTTTTCTTTACTGTTTCCTAAAGTGGAGGATTAAAGTATCCCCTGCTGGGCTTCATGACAGAAAAACCAATGTTGGATATACCAGCACCCCATGAGGATACATAAACATTCTACAGATGGCATAAGGTTACAAGTTCACACAAAAGTTAAAACTGATGTAAACATGTGGTTTTTGAAGATTCTAAGTTAGCACTGAAATGAAAAGTTATTTCTTATTTATCTGTGAACTGGGGATATCTGCCCATTTGCTTTTTCAGCAACACTCCCAAACTAGGAGACTATTTAACAGTAGCCCTTGCCAATGTGAACAGAAAATTATCAGCTTCAACGGCCTGTCATCTGGAACAAAGACTTCTAGCTTCCTGATGGGTCTAGTTCAAAAATATACATTACGAATATGAAATTAGCCTTGCTGATTAAAAGGAAAAGGAAATGTTCATTAACTGCAACTGAGTCAAAGTAAAACAACTATAGTCTTCCAAAATGGTCAGGTCTTAGGCAGCACCAAAAATTTACTGTTAGATAGCATCTAAGGATGGTTTATATAATATGTGACAGAGACAGCCGAAATAATTACAGAACTCAGGTAGTAAAGCATTTAACTTTATACAGAAAACAGCAATGCCTAATAAGATAGTTTTCTAAGTGCAGGAAGGTTGACTTCATTCACTGAAGAGAGAAATGGCATTTAAACCTCTTAGCTGTAGACTAAACTTAAATAGTCCTGCAGTAATTTTACCATTATTTACTATTTTAAAATTTGGCTTTAAAAGAAAAAATAATTGTTATCAATATCTCCATAGGTTAATTTAAACAGAACAACATTTATTCAGAAGAAAGTCCGCAATCTCCTTATCACTGGCTACAGCCTTATTTCAAGAATCACTAAATCTTAGGCCTAAATTCTTTTGCGGTCAGGTAAAATCGTAATCACCATCCATGACTATATCTCATTTGTTCATCCCACCTGCAGAATTACTGTTATTGGGTGGTATGAACATTCAATATAATTACATAAATGTTTAATGCATGTTTAATTATTTTAACTGAATAAATCACAATTAGTTATGTTCAGGTAATATACTAAACATAAGAACAGGCAGCATTTCTGAACAGAAGGCCATGTTTGGCCTTTGAGTGGTAGACGAGGGACTACACTCCAAAAAATTCTGCAGAGCCAAAAAAAATTTTTTTTTATTTATATTCCAGTGTAATTAAATGTAGATAATAATATGCAATACTGAAGAGCAATCATATCCATTATATTAAAACCCAAAACTTCTGGGGTTCTCCAGGGATTGTACCCAATGCTTCCAGGGATCCACGTAGCCATGAGGTCAATGTAAGCCTATATTTTGGTTTATAAATCACAAAAGCTGGTTTCACATATTGTCATATGGCTTAATTCTGACTTACACATTTTGTAAACCTTCTGAGCTTAGGAAATGAGTTATTTCAAAACCCGTTATGAGATGACTGATGCAATTAAAAGATTTCCTAGAAATAATAGTTGTAAGCTTGTTGTGTTTCAGGACAGAAAGAGCCTCTGAAATTGCCCTGAACTGCAGTCACAATGCAACATTCTGGCAACAGCAAACATCAGCAAAGCATTTGAAGGAAATATTGTAGTCATAAGATTATGGGGAATTTAGCTACCTTCAGATTCCAAGCTACAAAGTTCAGCCTCAGCTATCAGTATCCTAGTCCATAAGAATCCACATGCAATAAATGGAATGGCTTGAGCAAGAGCAGGTGATGTACCTACCATCCTAAATCCCAGATGTTGTAATTCTACATATGCAGAACTGCCTGTGTTCAGACAACACCTGAAACCATGGTTTATAAATTGCTGAGCCAAAGCCAGAGCATGTTTTAGCATACAGACCACATTAAGGTATAACGTGATTTATTTTGGTTTAGCAAGTTGTATCAATAGGGTTGTTACAGTTTGCTTATGTTCCATGATGGAATCACACATCTGGGCTCACATATAACTAGGTTTATGAGATCTTTTATAATATCTTTTATAGCTCAGTTCTACACATCATATTAAATACAATATTTTCTGAGACCCATAGTTTATGAATACCGAGATGTGTAAATCCTTCCAATTCTGATTTATTCAGAGAATTATAAAATGTAAAAGCTAGAAGGAATCTTAGAGATTATTTACTCCAACCCTCTGGCCAGGACATGAATCCAGTAGTGAGCAACTAAGATTAAGCAAATAATGACTTACTGAAATCAATTAACCCAGTTTCAACAAAAGCCAAACCTACAATTAAATATGAAATGCAGTATGTCCTGGTAAGAGCTAAACTTTTCCGCTTTAAGTCTGAAGTTATGCATACTTCTGAAGTCCTGTTCACAATTTACCCAGACAATAAGTACGGCTGAACCGGGCGGGAACCAGCTGGTAACCAGCTAGTTTGAACATAAATACCACCACCGAAAGAAATCGTCTGAACACCCCCACAGAATCAGGCTCCGAAGTAATTGTCCTGACACACCGGCAAAGAACAGCGCAACCTCCTTTCAACGCTGGAAAGTGAGGTTTCAGACTTCAGCGCCATTATTAAATATTAAACGCCACTACTTGCATTACCAGCCAAGCAACCGGATTCAAAACCCCCCGCAAGTCCACAGACCCCACGCACCCCGGACCCAGTTTTAGCGGGGCTCGACCTTTAGACTTATTCTTCCTACAAGCCTGCACGGACCGGCAGGGCCTCCAACCGTCTGCGGTCCAGAGGTCACTCCCAGCAGTGCGACATCGCATCCCGGGCGAGCCAAAAGGCCGGGGACGGGAGCACGTCGCGAAGCGCTGATGCGTCTCCCGAAACGCTGGAAGCCCCGTACCTGTCTACCCAAAAGTTCCCCCTTCACCTGGGCCAACGCTCATCCTCTCACTTCTCCCGCCGGCCGTCTCCGTCCCGCCTCCCCTCTCACTCACCCCAACTTCCCCAGACCTTCGCTGCAGCTGCACCTGTCCAAACCCCCCTCTAGTCC